CAAAGTAACCCCCCCTCCTTTTTTTTTTTTTTTTTTCTTTTTTTTTTTTTGTAATGTGACATTCTATCCTGGTCATAAAGCTCAGGTTTTCCTTTTCATTTCCCTTTTCCACACACCTCTCCTCCTGCTCATCAGGCAATTGGAGGCAGGAAAACATTTTCTTTAAAGTCCCCCTATTATGCTATTTTTAAGGTTTCTAATATTGTTTTGGGAGTCTCCTACAATAGGTTTACATGCATGCAATAAAGCAAAACGCTTTAGTTTTTTCAAAATATGCATTTACTATCACCTCGTTTTCCAATGATTCTCAAATGATTTGTTCAAAGCAGTTCTAAGATTCAGTCTCTCTAAACCCCTCCTCTCCGTGAGCCTACAATGCTCTGATTGGTCAGATGGCCCAACCTGTTGTGATTAGTCTACCGCGTACAGCGTGTGTAGGAAACAATACGCCTATTGACATAGTTCCATATTTGGAACGCTCCATAGAAAATATAAATGTCTATTATTCATCATACTTACAGGTTGTGATTCAGTGGAGCCAGCTGGTCCAAATAAACTGGGTACTGGGTACGGAGCCATCTTTCAAGAGCATTTGTGAATCCCGTGTTGAAATCCTCGAGATTAGAGAAGTAGTCGTCAGTAAAATGACGGGAACACAAAAAATATTGTGGATGTACTGCTGTGGTACAGCGGAAAAAATGAATTTTAACCTCTGATTCTTTGCAGCCTCATCTTTCGGAGGTGAAAATAAAACAAATTTACTTTCATAGCGTAGGACACAGCATCTTCTCGACATGATGTTAACCACATGAACAAGCTACAGTGTTTGAGGGCGGGTCAAGTTGTTCGCGGCCGTTCAACATAGAACACAGGCAGGCATAATGCAAATGTGTTACCATGTGACGTGTAGCCATCACAGAAGTGGGATTTGAATTACTGACAACTCATTTAGGCTGTTGAGAGTCGATTCTTTCTTTTGGGAGACAACAACTTTATCAGGGTGTCCGCGGGTCCTTAAAAAGTCTTAAATAACGTTTTCCTAATATAAGGCCTCAAAAAGTCTTAATGTCTTAAATTCGGAATCGATGGGTCTTAAATATTTTGTCACATTACCGCTAAAATATCTTCAGTCTGACGGACCTAATGACTGTTTACAATCATTGGACAGACCGAAGATTTTTTCTTCCCCGCGGTAAGTTACTGCGTCATCAGAGAGAATTGCAGTAAGTTAACAGAATACAAGGTCGCGCTGAGGCTCACTCTGTTTGTCTCTTTGTGAGAGTCTTCATAACAAATTAGCGTGACAGCACATATAAACTCAGAAGAAACACACTGAGGTAAAAATTCTGAATGTTTAGTTTATTCAGAACATGAAATCGTTCAGTAACACCATGACAAGTGAGCTATTGTGCTCAATATTCTCACGACGCAAAAAAACATTCAAAACACCTACAGAGTGCACGCATTGTTAAATCTGGGCGTGTGCATTTACAGTGCATTCTTTCACTGCATGATTCAGTCTATTAAAATACATTCAGAATGATCACAAACTCAAGACATGGGGGCAGAAAATTTTTTTTACAACAGTTCAATAAACTAAAAGTTTTATTAAGAGACTTACGTTTTAGACACCATATTGCCTGTTTTTGCACTATTTCACCAACAAAAATAATTCCAAACAAAGACACAGCCCTGTTTTGCCTCTTTGAGCAACATGACGGTGATTCATTCCTGAATGAATCAACTGTTTAAATGATTCGGTTCATTTGCAATGACTCACTTATTAACAGTGACTTGCTGCCACCTACCCGGACGGTTTTAATTTCACATTTAAAGTATCTTTTCATTTTTTAAATCATTTCAAATATCAGTATTCAGTTTTTTTATGTTTAATATATAAAATTATTTATGCATTTGTAACTGCAGGTTAAATGCATTAAACGGTGTGTAAATACTTCTAAATGCCACTTCAGACGCAGCTTATGTCTGGATTGCAAAGAAAAATTTCATTTGCTTGGTAACAGCCCAAATGTCTTATTATTCTTATTCACTGATTAAATGTAAGAATTTTACTAAAAAGATAATGCACACTTATAGAAAAAATGGCTTTATAAAGGTAAAATGCCCATAAAAGTTAAAAATCAATTTAAACTTATTGGAAAAGATTAATTTCTATTTGACCACCACACAGAATATGAAGAATATGAAAAACTTTAGGAGTCAGCTGTCCACGAAAGTCCTTAAGATAACAGCATGAGCACACACTTAATCAGTTGAATGAATGACTCAATGACTCACTCATTAAGTGACTTACCGTCCTTTACTGGTAGTTTAGTTGAGAAGTATGTTGAAAAGTATGCATTTTCCCCCTCAACATTTCTTATTTGTATATTCATAAATGCATTTAAAACATTAATCTCATAACATTATTTATTGCAGTTGTAATTATTGTTATTTGCAGTGTAAATTATTTAATCTGACTGGTAGCAGCCCTATGGTGTATATTGAATTTATTGATAAATTGTAATAATTTGGTTAAAAATAGGCCTTTGTAAAGGTAAATAAAAATATGCAGATTTAAGTATGTAAAAGCTGATAGAACACTGATGAAAATATTGCTTCAGAATAAATGGTTTCCTCCACCAACAATCTCAGTGATGCAGTTATTTTGCAGGGATATTTTGTATGAAATATTGTCTGCTGACATTAAAAGTTCACTGTATCTCGTAGTAATATTTATTACAGCAATGATATTTTGTTTTCTTTTATATTTAAACACATTAATACAGGGTTAGGTCTTAAATTTCATATAAGGTGGTATTAAAAAGGTCTTAAAGTATTCAGTTTAACTTGTTCATGTCTGTAGAAACCCTGTTTATTTATCGTGCACTTTCGGCTTTACAACTTTACACACTGCATGAAAGGCTATATTCGAAATGACATAATAGGGGCACTTTAATATTAGTAACTTAAGAAATACCATTAGTCGCTACTGTTGGGTTCACACTAACCACACACCGTACAACCATATAGAGTGACATGGCTCTTGTTAGCAACAATATTTTTTGCAATGTAAAATACACAAGAGTTTCTTGGAATGAGATCCCTTGTGTAGGAAATGACCTCTTGGAACGGATCCAGAGGTTAGCTTGGACAGACAATTTGGGAAATTTGTTCAAAAGACTATTCCAGTTTAATGACATAATAGCCCTGTGCATGTAATAAGACCTGACTTTCTGCACACTGGTTGGATAGAGTATGTTCTTGGATTCACCTCTTTGCTAAATTAGTTAGAAACTCCTCCTTATATCCGTGCTCTAAACCAAAGTTTTTAGTCTCCACATTGGCCAAAATTCCCTTCTGGAAGTGCACGACTTGAAGTTGAACTCCGCATTAGAGTAGGGCAGTGTGGAGGAGAGCACCAGTTCTGGGCTTTCCCCTGCTCTCTGAGGAAAGGCAGACAGCCCAGCCTGCTAAGAATCCCAAGCTTCCCACAATCCCTCAGTTTTCCCTCCCATGATTTGTTTGACACAAGCAGTCTCAAGCCCAGTGCTGTGACCGTGGAGTGACCTTACAGACATGGCCGGTACAGGCCAAGTAGTGGCTAGATCACCAAAAATAAAACTGCAGGGAAGAAAATAAAGTAGACTTTTTTTCGGTTTTGACACCGAAAACAAGACCATAAAAAGAATAATGGGTTGTTTGTTAAAAGAAAAGTCCTTTTTTAGTTTTGTGACTATTGCAATTTTCATTTACTGTAAAAAGTAAACAGATTTATGGGGGGAATAGAAGTGGTATGAAGACCAGATTCAAACTTTAATTTCCCAAATGACGTCAAAGGTTCAATGTTAGCGTTAGCAGCTTCATAAGTCCAACAAATTGTTGCATTTCTCTCAGTATCTGTCAGATATTAAAAATAAAGTGAAAACCAAATGATGGTGGTCAGTATTTGTAGAATTTAATTTGATGTAGGTGAAAAAACTCTTTGAATAAGTCACACCCAGGTTCGCTGGCTGGACCTAATTGTGACTGATCACTTTGGCTCTTGTTGGCTGGATGAAGTGTCTGAAAGATTGCACAATGGTGTGTGGAAAGCCGCTTTCTGCTCAAGCCAAAGCCAAGAGGAGGATAAAGCCATAACAAGGGGCTTTAGTTCAGGTGATGGCCGACCTGTTGATAAGAAGGGGGAGGGAGAATTGTAATTACCTTTATTGAGTGCAGCCTCATTTGACTGACAGCTGTAACAAAAAGAGGTATGAGGGAAGTAGAAAAAGAGAGAATGAAGGGGCAAAAGACACAGACTTGGGGAGACTGGGAAACGGAGGCTAAAGTGGTGTGTGTGTGAGATGTGGATCTGCAACTGACTCAGCTCTTTGCTGCGCTGGAGCCACAAAATGCTGGCCCAGACTTCGCTGGGAGGTCCAGTGATTGACTGCCAGGGACTTTCGGCGGTGCCGGAGGTGGGAGAGGGTGGAGGGACAGAATACCTGAGCCATGAGGGAAAAAGGGGGGGGCTTTCCTCCTGTTCTAGATCAGAGCTGGCACACGGAGACGCAGTCATCCACTAATACTGTAATTAGGCCTGATTTGTAGCCAGGAGGGTGCGGACCAACACGCTCATGAGACCTTTCATTTGACCAGACAAATTAGAGATATAGACATAATAGGCAGGAGTTGCGGGCTCAGATGAGAGCTCAGATTTCAGGCCAGGAGCATTCTGGATTGCAGTGGCCTTCATGACTGTGAGCTGTCTACTTAGACAGCATTTATGGCATCATAAGTGTACTCCCACTGTGAAGCCTGTTACGGAAAGTCCAAAACTACATGCTGATCTTTGAGATATCTCATTTTGACCCAATATTAAGCCACCTTTACATCCACCCCAGAGAAGGCAATCCCATGTAGTGTGGCTAACTTGGTGGAAAATTCATCCAAAATGGCGAACAACGCAAAGCAAATGTTGACTATAAATGTACCCAAAATCAAACTGATGTTCCACTCAAGGAAATGATTGTGATTCAAATGGGTTTTTTTGTTAAGTCTGACTCATTTTGTCTTGTTTCCCTCAGCTATGTGGTGAACATGGGCTTGATCGACAAGCTGTACGGCTGTTTCCTGTACGTGCAAGGACCGATTGACGAGTGTCCCAAGATGACTGCCTTTCTCGAGCAAGCCACAGCTTTTCTCCATGGGATGTGCAAATTGTGTTTTGCTGTGACTGGTCGGTGAGTGGTTTCTAATGTTACTTTACTTTGTCTATGTCTCCATCATTGTCATCCAAAAAAAGTTGCATGGCATATACTGGGACATCATTATAATATTGTGGTATTCTTTAAATTGCTTTTGAATGACCAATTACCATGGGTATGGTAGTTAATCTGTACTATAGGGTTCTCAAGGTTCAATCATATTATCACTGTATCATGATAGGTCCACAGTATCTATTTATAGTGGTTGCACCCTTCCCAAACATCCCCAGACCAGTAGATAACCTCATTCCTATCTAAATAAATAGGTGGAGTCCACTGTAGTTTTGATGTTCAGATGTCTGAAGAGGTGCAGACCAGAGACAAAAGACCCATCAATCAGCAGCCCATTTCCCAGTGTCTGACACTAGTCCTGCAGAGCCTGTGCTGATAGTCATCTAGCGGCATGAGAGCTCAGATTTCAGGCCAGGAGCATTCTGGATTGCAGTGGCCTTCATGACTGTGAGCTGTCTACTTAGACAGCATTTATGGCATCATAAGTGTACTCCCACTGTGAAGCCTGTTACGGAAAGTCCAAAACTACATGCTGATCTTTGAGATATCTCATTTTGACCCAATATTAAGCCACCTTTACATCCACCCCAGAGAAGGCAATCCCATGTAGTGTGGCTAACTTGGTGGAAAATTCATCCAAAATGGCGAACAACGCAAAGCAAATGTTGACTATAAATGTACCCAAAATCAAACTGATGTTCCACTCAAGGAAATGATTGTGATTCAAATGGGTTTTTTTGTTAAGTCTGACTCATTTTGTCTTGTTTCCCTCAGCTATGTGGTGAACATGGGCTTGATCGACAAGCTGTACGGCTGTTTCCTGTACGTGCAAGGACCGATTGACGAGTGTCCCAAGATGACTGCCTTTCTCGAGCAAGCCACAGCTTTTCTCCATGGGATGTGCAAATTGTGTTTTGCTGTGACTGGTCGGTGAGTGGTTTCTAATGTTACTTTACTTTGTCTATGTCTCCATCATTGTCATCCATTCTTTGAAAAAAAGTTGCATGGCATATACTGGGACATCATTATAATATTGTGGTATTCTTTAAATTGCTTTTGAATGACCAATTACCATGGGTATGGTAGTTAATCTGTACTATAGGGTTCTCAAGGTTCAGTCATATTATCACTGTATCATGATAGGTCCACAGTATCTATTTATAGTGGTTGCACCCTTCCCAAACATCCCCAGACCAGTAGATAACCTCATTCCTATCTAAATAAATAGGTGAAGTCCACTGTAGTTTTGATGTTCAGATGTCTGAAGAGGTGCAGACCAGAGACAAAAGACCCATCAATCAGCAGCCCATTTCCCAGTGTCTGACACTAGTCCTGCAGAGCCTGTGCTGATAGTCATCTAGCGGCTCTGTCTCCATGCACTGTAAACTCCTGCCTGCAGCCCACCCACGTGTGTGTGTGTGTGTCGGAGTGCGTTTGTGCATGCACAACTACTGACAGAGGCTAACCACACAGTCACAGCTTGTGATATCCCGCCTTTGACCTCTAACCCTGACTTGCAGCAAAGACAAATCACTGTGATGCTGCACTGTTGCTTTCTACATACTTTAAATTGCACTCTAAACATTGTAGGAGTGATTGTTTCTGTACATTGTGAAAACACAATAACATGAAATGTGGTGTTGAAATGAAACAAAAATGCATATTTCGTCTGGGCCTGATTGTGTAGTGTGTTAAAATGTAGGAAGAAAGTGATACTGAAATATTTTCAACCAGGCTGCAGGCTTCAAAACAATTTGAATGAAACTCTCTCCACTGTGTTTCAGTCCCAAACTATAGTCTGAATGAGTCCTTGCATTTGCACAAATTCATATTTCAGCCCATTCCACTTGGATTTTGGAGTTATTTCAAAGGTCATAGCTCCTCCTTTATTGGCCAGCTATGTTCTGTTCCAGCTGTTGCATGCTATAACGCCACCCAGCTGGTTATGACAACTCTAATGTCTCTCCCAACATCCTTTGGCTTCTGACACTGAATATCTGTGAGAAACTCCAGTGCCAGTTCTTCTCTTTAATAGTCCTGCTCAGCAGCATAATCAACATCTTTCATAATCAAGTCAACGCTCCATTCTGTCATTCTTCACTATGCTGAAGGCCAGGAAGTTGTCCCTTTGTGGTTCGTGTTAGACATTTCCGAGTTGCTCTGCTCACTTGCAGTTGCCAGACCCTGGGATTTGTGTTTCTGTCACCGACTACCAGTGTATTGGTGGGATTAAATATCGATAATCATCAATGTCAATAAAAGCTTGTCAAGTAGCGCTTGTGCTGAGCTAATGACGACGTGTTGGCCTATGAGTTGTGGCTTGTGTCGCAGTCAGAATAGATTGAAATGATGGTGTATCTGCTTGTTCTGCTTTGGATCAGGGGACTTTCTTTTCTTAAGTTAACTAATAGAGCTTTTCCTTGCTGTAGAGCAGGGGTGTGCAATCCTGCTTCTGGAGATCTACCTTCCTGCAAGGTTTCTGCTCTTTCTGCAGTCTTTAAAAGTACTCATAAACCTTGATTATTTGGCGCAGATGTGTTTGGTCAGGGTTGGATTCATATTATGCAGGAGCGTAGATCAACAGAAGCAAGACTGAGCACTCCTGGTGTAGAGCGACAAGAAGGTATTGGGAAAGAGACCAGGAAAAGAGTCAGGAAAGGGTTCAGGATGTATTCAGCTCCCGACCCCATTCCCTCCAAGCACCTTGACTCTATGCATTAAACGCAAGGTGTCATGGATCCAGCAGAGTTTTAGACACCTTGACTGATTTAGAAGGCATATCTTTTCTTCAGTTGTTAAATTGCCCTTTTCCCTCAAGGAAATCGTTTCATGGCAAGTTCCAGATATATTTTATCTCGTCCTCTCTAAGTCGAGTAGACACTAACAGCATTACCACAGGTTTAGCTGTAAGCATGGATTAATCAGACGATGCTGATTTGGAGTCAATGGTTAGGCTCAAATTGCCTCTGTCAGGCCTTTCACTTTCATCCCACTCCGCTGTCTCATTTTTCAGGATCAGGAGATGTGAAGTTCGTCATGCACAGTCAATCTGTGAGAACTAAGTCTTTGTTCCCTCATGTAGACACTGATCACGACTTTCGGTGGAGGCTGCCCTTCTCCTCTGAACTGAGGATTTTTTTACACCAGTTAAGGTTAAACATAGATAAGAAGTGCAGAGCCGAGATCAGTCGGACAAGGTGGCTTCCACCCGGAAGCTTATTCCGGAGTAGTCGACCTCTTGCACTTGCTGTGATCTCATTGCCGAGGGTGAGGTTTCCCCCTCACCGAGCTTGACACTCCTTTCTCCCCTTAGCTCACCAGAAGTTCTGTTTCCCCTCCAGTGCACTTGGTGTAGTGTTCACGGACGTATCCTCAACTGCAATGTGACACCTTGTAGAACCAGCTCCTTTTGTGCTGTTTAGGGATCAGCCCTTGATACTAAAATCCAGACTCTTGGCGTTGCGACGGTAATGGAAGATCTCGTCTCAGATCAGCCTTAAGGTATCACTTCTGCTCAGAACCTCAGGGGTATGAAGTTACCAATCCTGCTAATCCGCAGGGTGTTGTCCTGACTAAGACACACAAACACGCTGCTGTAAATCTGGTAAGATGTGTCTTAATTAAATGTGCTGCAACACAAGATGGCCAGTGAGTGAGGGGAGTTTGCATAGTTGTGGAGCCAGTGCTATTGGCTGACAGATGGTTGTCCAAGTTCCAAGACTTCCCTCCACTGTTGCTGTGTGGAGAGCTCCAGGATGTTCACTGGTGTATGAGATGTTTGGATGTCAGCTTCATAGCTTAGAGTCTCAACTTCCCCAAGATTCACCTGACCAGTCTGGGGTTTGTCACATTTATAGATGATGGCCTTACCTCCCCTCTATAATAATCTCTCCCTACACTCTAGAGATTCATTCTGTAAATCTGGCAATTACATTCTGTCCATCTCTTCAAATATTCTGTACGTTCATTCTATCTATATGTTTGTTATACATATAGACACATCCACGTCCTCTATATATATTCTATACATTTGGCCACCACATTCTATCCATTACTATGTATTCATTCTTTCTTCCGCATTCCGTCCATCTCTATAAATTATATATATTTATTATTTACACCATTTTCTATCCATCTCCATAAATGCTGTTTATTCTTTACATCTGTCCACCACGTTCTATCAAATTCTATACTTTCTGTATATTTGTTCTAAACATCTGGCCATGGTATTCTGTTTTTCTCTGCACGTTCTACACATTCATTGTATACATTTGTCTAACACATTCTGTCCACCTGTTTATGCATTCTGCACATTTATTCTATATCTCCACAAGACATTCTGTCATCTCTATGCATTCTGTGCATTAATTGTTATTTATGTTTGTGCACCATGTTCTATCCATGACTCTATACTTTTATACATTAATTCTATAAATATGTCCTCCAAATAAAATATTTTCCTCAATATGTTCTTAACATTCATTCTATAATTCTGTCCATCAAATTCTATCAGTCTCTCTGGACATTCTATACATTCATTTTATATATCGATTCTGTTAGACACCTCTCTAAAACATTCTGTGCATTCATGTTTTACAACTGCCATAATATATATTCTATATTCATTTTATAAATCTGCCCACCACATTATATCATTCTCTCCACATTATCTACATGTCTATCCATCTCTTAGTATATTCAAAGTATTCTTTCTATACATTTCTCCGTCACACTCCATCCATTATATAGATAACATTGTCCATCACATTCTACCCATTTCTCAATAGATTTTTTTCTGTCCATAGAAATTGTGCTTCAGTAATTTTGCATTAATCGTGTTGAATTATTTTAACGCATTAAGGATTTTTTAATTAATCTCGTTAACGTTGAGGGCCCTAATATATTGCCCCAATACTTCACTTCTCTCTGTTTCTTTCTCTCTGATCTCCAGTCCCTGATCCTATGCTCAGAAGTGTAAAGTCTTTTTTTCCTCATATATTACCATTAGCCACCCTCACTGTGTCTCAGTGTTCACTCCTGAGTTAAGCAGGGCCAAATGTTACAAGTTAAGCATATCTGCCCCATAGGCATGCTTCACAGATGGGGCTTGCCTTCGTTATTTATATCAGAACAGACAGGCTCTGGTCTAGCGAGTAAATCTAGAAGCTATGAGGACCAGGCATCCCACACTCCCCTACATCCTGGGTCTTTGGTTTTTGCAGCTTAAGCAAGCAACCAGTAACACCTCAGGTTCTGATGCTTTCAGACCACACCTCTGCTACCTTTTGCCACACTTCCCCTGTGCACTATACAACAGCCCTGTGCACTGCTGACTTTGTTTTGAAAGGCCAGTGGTTCAGATTGAAAGGTGCGTAAACTTGAGGAACCTTATTTCACTGGCCTGATATATATGATACAATGTAAAGCACCTTTGGCCTTGCTAATAGAATAACAGTATTTCTGACCCTGAATTGTTTTTCATTTCTTGAGCGTCAGTCACTGGTTAACAGGTCTTACCTGTCCTGTTGAACAAAGTGGCCTTTTGTACCACATCATGTGTGATTGATTTTGTATGTGGATATTTGAGTAAGAGTACTTTTCTACACAACGTTATGTGCTTTTTCTGAATGCCTGTTGCTATCTGTTCGGTTATGTTTAGATTGGCATACTGCCTGCGGTTTATAAAATAAATATGCAGTGTGTATGCTGTGAAGTGTATGCTATTTTTTTTTATATGGATGAAGCATCTGCAGCATCTACTGATCACATTGGATAGAATTTAAAAAAGTCTTACATTTTAGATTTTTAAAAACTAATTTTGCCAAAAATTACATTAAAATTAATTTATTAGTATTATTATTGTTGTTGTTGTTATAGTAGTGGTATTTGTTCATTATTATTATTATTGTTGTAATTTTGTCAGC